ATTAAAAAACACAAAGAAATACGAGGGCTAGACATATTTCAGAAGAACAATCAAATGATGTCGGATCTAATTGGTTTCACGTACTCGGTCCATTTGGACCGAATCTTATAACATTTTTCTTTTTCTAATTGGAGGGAAAAGCAGATCCTCTCCATCACATAAATCTGGTAAACAATTTCAATCCATTCATCAATAATGGGTGGGTCTGGTTTCATCCATTTCCTTGTGATGGCCTTCTTACTGGCAGCCACACTGGAAAAACCATCTAGAAATAAGTTAAAATTTCCAAAATTACGTGTATTTTCCCTTAATTTTAGTAGGTAAATTAGATACTTTGCCAGTGGAATGAGTATTTTTACTCTTAAAATTAGATAATTAGATAATTTGCACTTGAAATAAGACAATGCAATTGTGTTTTCTGATTTTAAGCGGAAGTTGCCTTGTTCCATTGACAAAATTTCTCTTTTTTCCTCCTCAATCCAAGAATAAATGCACTTAATTTAAGAAAAAATTACTTATCTAGATTTAAATTTTTTCCAGTGCAGTAGTGTAGCCAGCAGTTTTTTGTCTTTTTGTTAGTCGGAATTCGTTTTTTCACTTTAAATAAGATAATTAGATATGATGCACTTGAAATAAGACAATGCAATTGTGTTTTCTTATTTTAAATGTAAATTGTCCTGTTCCACTGGAAAAGTGTCTTAGTTAACTCCTCAATTCAAGAAAAAATGCACTTGTTTTAATAAAAAAATGACTTATTGAGATTTCAATGTTTTGCAGTGTAGGCTCCAAAAGCAGCACAGGGTCTGTCTACAATAACCAGCATCAGAAAAACATTGCTAGTTTCCAAATAATTTAAACCAGATTTCAAACCAAATAAGTAAATTTGTTCTTGGATTGAGGAAGTAAAAAAAAGACATTTTGGCAATAAGAAAAGATAATTTACACTTAAAAAGAGAAAACATAATTGCATTGTCTTAGTTCAAGCACATTTTATCTAATTGTCTTATTTTAACAGTAAAAATACTCATTCCATTGGCAAACTATCTCATTTACCTAAGGGTAAATACACTTAATTTAAGACATTTTTCCTTATTTCTAGATGTTTTTTTTCCAGTGCAGGGTCTGTCTACAATAACCAGCATCAGAAAAACATTGCTAGTTTAAATATTTCAAACTAGATTTTCATGAAGCTAAACACATATTTGCACATCTATACTGTCTAAATCAGTCGTTTATGGTTCTGAATAAAAAACGGTTAAGAAGCTATTCTTTATCTTTACACTGCAAAAAAAATTCTTAAATTAAGTGTATTTACCGTTAATTTGGGCAGGTAAATAAGATGATTTGGGAATTGAATGAGTCCACTACAAAAACAACCTAGAAATAAGTAAACATGTCTTAAATGAAGTACGATTCCGCTTTATTCAAGCAGGTAGATAAGGTGATTTGCCAATAGGATGAGTATTTTTACTCTTAAAATGAGATCATTAGAAAATATGCAGTTGAAATAAGGCAATTGTTTTTTTCTTATTTTAAATGTAAATTGTCTTGTTGCATTGGCAAAGTGCCTCACTTACCTCCTCCAATCAAGAAAAAATGACTTATTTTAAGAAAATTTGACTTATTTAAATTAAATTTTTTGCAGTGTATATTTTACTGCACTAGAAATGCACTTGAAATAAGACAATTCAATTGTTTTTTTTCTTATTTTAAGTGTAAATTGTCTTGTTCCATTAGTATGATGTCTCACTTACCCCTGATTTCAAGAAAAATGCACTTATCGTAAGAAAAAATGACTTATTGATATTTCTATTTTTTGCAGCGTCCTGGCCATTCATTCAAAAAAATTTAAAAACAAGTACCTTTCTATTTAGTTTTATTTTGCAGAAAGTTGAGTTCAATGGTGACACGTAATTTGAGTCGTTTGCCGTGTTGATTGACCCACGTCAGTGAGCTGTTCCCACCGCCGCTAAAAACCCATTGTTCCCAGATTTAAACGGGGTTTTCACCCAGTGGGAGAGGGACTTCTTAAACGTAGAGGAGATAGATTTATTTAAAGAGATTTTTACTTAATTTCCTGTCAGTTTTTGACGTTTTGATCCTGCAGTACAATCCTGAATCTGGAAAGACTGCAGAAAATCCTCAACAAACCAAGGAATCAATTCCGGTTAAACTGTTAGGATGAACATGGCGTTCAGGCTGAAGAACAATGGAGAGAAACTTTGAACCAGAATGATTTGAACTCATTTTAAAGAGTCAGGAGAACAGCTTAGCCCCGTGCAGAAGCGTCCCCTTTCTCATGGGATGTGAGTTTCAGGGGCCTCTGATCTGCTGGGGCCGTTCTCAGGGCCCACATGATCTGACTGATGCTGTTTTGTTTCTCCAGGCTTACTGCTTTTGTGATGAAGTCATTTGGCGGCGCCAGTGATTACATCTACGTTGACCCGCAGCAGATAGAAGACATCAGGACCTGGCTGTACGGCCTGCAGAACGAGGATGGCTGTTTTATGTCTGTTGGGAAGCTCTTCCACAACAGCATGAAGGTAGGAGGGTTTAAGATCCTTTTCTTCGTCCCTGGTTCCTCTGTCTGAGCACAGCTAGAAAAGACTTAAAGACAGTTTGAC